TACAAAAACTAAAAAGACGTTTTGAACAATTTCCAACGAATCACAATTGATTATAAATGTGGATTGATGTACAAAAACTAAAAAGACGTTTTGAACAATTTCCAACGAATCATAATTGACTAAGTTCACGCAAATGAACTTATTGTTTACGTTACATCATTACAGTGTATTTCTCAGACTTATATTAAGTTGAAAGAAAAATTAATCATTTAAAAAAAACAACAAACATGGATTCCACTTTGTCCTTGTGTTCTGAGATTTAGGTTTTTAAGGCTTTAATCAACTAAAGTATGATACATCCAAGTTACGTTTTAGATATAATAACTTAGACTAAACTAAAATCTGTTCAATTTGGCCTTTGTCACGTGACAGTTTTCTTAAAATAATCCAGCCGATTTCTAGCTTCAGAGAAGTCAGAATTTTCGTATTTGAAGACGATTACTTAGAAAGCTAAAAGTTGACTTTCCAGAAATACAAACTAGAGGTACAGCAGGAAAGAAAATACTTTCTTGAAAGAAGTTTCTCACGATGTGGCCCAACATAAAGCTCACATCCTGTGAGTTGTGGAGTCTATCTCCTTGTCTCTTAAGATACCGGTTATTCCACGCTGGTGTTGTGTTTCCCAGGAGTGAGGAAACCCCATTCAGCGTCGCAACAAGCTAGTCTCACCTGACTGATTCCTTGTCACTACAACCAAGGTGCTATCGACTCACCGATATTCATCAGCTCTGTGGTAAGCAGGCCTGACCTGAAAACTTGTGCTTTGTGAAGTTATCCGATACTTTCATAATGTATACATTCAACTAAGGCATATTATCAGATCATATGTTGTAGGTGATAGACTGTGGTAGAAGATAATAGTTCATGATGATAGACAGACAAATCGTGATAGCAGGTCGTAGGTCATGATGGTAGGTGACAGTTCGTTATGGTAGAGGGTAGATCATGATATTAGGTCATAATGGTAGGTGACATTTCATGTTAGAAGGTCGTAGGTCATGATGGTAGGTGACATTTCATGTTAGAAGGTCGTAGGTCATGATGGTAGGCAACAGTTCGTTATGGTAGAAGGTAAATCATTATATTAGGTCATAATGGTAGGTGACATTTCATGTTAGAAGGTCGTAGTTCATGATCGTAGGTGACAGTTCGTTATGGTAGAGGGTAGATCATGAAGGCAGTTGGTAGTAGGTTATGGTGATAATAAGTTATGGTGGCAGATCATGAAGGCAGGTGGTAGTAGGTTATGGTGGCAGATCATGAAGGCAGGTGGAATTAGGTTATGGTGGCAGATAATGGGCTGTCATTTGAAGGAACATCAGTTAAAAGTAATTTAAAAAGTGTATATTCTTGGTTTAGGCTTTCTTAACTTGTCACAACTGAACGACTTCTAAATCAGCACGTTATAGGCTATCAGAAATCAATTTCTTCTAGACATTGAGATCAAGTTATACATTAATGATAATTATAGCGTAAATATCACACTTATTTTTAATCATTTCTAATGACAAGCTGAAATCCAAATAAATATAAACTGAATGATATTCTTAGAGTCCGTTTATCCAAGGCAGTATTCCATGATATCATTTCCTTCTTCCAAAAATATAATTATAGACTATCATTCCCTAGTTACCGAAATAATTTTATGTTTCAGAGCACTGACCCATTTACAAGTGATATATATCAGTAAAGTGGTTGATATAATTTATTTCAAACTAGGTGATTGGTGTGGTTTATCTTCAACCAGGTGGTGGTGTGATTCATTATAAACCAGGTGGTTGGTTTGATTCATTATAAACCGGGTGATTGGTTTGATTCATTATAAACCGGGTTGTTGGTGTGGTTTATTTTAAACCAGGTGGTGGTGTGATTCATTATAAACCAGGTGGTGGTTTGATTCATTATAAACCAGGTAGTTGGTGTGGTTTATCTTCAGCCAGGTGGTGGTGTGATTCATTATAAACCAGGTGGTTGGTGTGGTTTGATTCATTATAAACCAGGTGGTTGGTGTGGTTTATCTTCAGCCAGGTGGTGGTGTGATTCATTATAAACCAGGTGGTTGGTGTGGTTTATGTTCAACCAGGTGGTTGGTGGGATTTATATTAAACCACGTGATTTGTGTGTCTTGTGTTACACCACGAAGTTGGTTTGCTTTCACTTAAACCACATGGTTGGTGTGTATTTTCTTAAACCATGTAGTTGGTGTTTCTTGTCACGTGGTTGGTATGTCGTGTCGTGGTTGGTGGAATTTGTTTGTCATCTATTGGATATTCGTTTTTAAACATTGTGCAATGAACTGTGGTTTCAGTATTTAGGCAACTTGTGCCAAAAAGAAGAGTATGTTCGTAAACATCGATGTCATGTCAGACATCAAAACAGATCTTTATTAACCAGTAGTCCAGCTTCACTACAAGGAGTTAATTCAGGTCAGACATCAAAACACATCTTTATTAACCAGTAGTGCAGCTTTACAACAAGGAGTTAATTCAGGTCAGACATCAAAACACACCTTTGTTAACCAGTTGTCCAGCTTTACTGCAAAAATTTAATACAGGCCAATTAACAAAACGCACCTGTAGCTTAGAACCACTGCAAATTCTTAATTTTGGTCA